TCGTATCCAAAAATCAAATGACAGATGCTCAAAGAACTCTAATTTCGACAGTTGCCTCTTAGAGTAAAGTAGAAAGCACAGGGACGTCAAGGTGTTTGCAGTGATGATGCCGGAAGGCAGTGGAGTCGGAGCTGAGGCTCATGCTCCTTTCCTCACTGAGGTGCACAGGTCCTCTGTCCCACTGTGTCCTTTTCTAGTAATTACGCTGATGTCATACAGTCCGTATGCTCTGTCTGGTCTGTTTTTTTCTTTTTTGACAGTGTGTTTACCAATTCATGTTGTGGCATATATTGGTAGTTGATTTCATTGATAAGATAGTGTTCCATTACATAAATGTATGTAAGATAGTTGATTACTGATGAAAATAGATTACTTCAGATATACTCTGATAAATTTAGCAGTCTCTAGACTGTTATTCTCCTGAGATGTGACTATTACTTGGGGTGGGGGTTACTGGCCTGGAGTAGTGTATTTTTTCACTGTAGTTTACTCTCAAATCGGTATAATTGTATTTTTGTTTTTCCAGTCCTGGTTTTCTTAGGTTTGTGAGGGTTTTATGTGGCATGTCCTCAGATGAAAGGAAGGCGTTTCTGCAGTTTACCACCGGCTGTTCAACTCTGCCCCCAGGTGGACTGGCTAACCTGCACCCCAGGCTCACGGTTGTACGAAAGGTACGAACTAGCTGGTGGGAAATGCCAATGGAACTCAGTTATATTAGGATTGGACTCAAGTAGAAAGGTACATGTACTATCTTCTGTTTTCCCCTTGTTTTTGTAGGTTGATGCTACTGATGCAAGCTATCCGTCGGTCAATACATGTGTGCATTATCTTAAGTTGCCTGAATATTCTTCTGAGGAGATCATGAGAGAACGCTTGCTAGCTGCTACAATGGAGAAGGGCTTTCATCTCAATTGAGTCTTGAAGTACAATGGCAGATATGAGAGACTGAAATCCTAGTGAAGCCTCTTGTGTTTGTGTGCAGAGAAGTGTATGATCCTCCACGCTGATGACACTTGCCTTGTTTTCCACCATTAAGGCTTTGAGAACATGTGGAATAAGTTCGTTAGCTGCTAATGACAAAACAAATCCTTTAACTATCCAGCCAGCAGGTATACAGCACAAGACACTGTTGCTGTACAAGGGCTTATGTGACTGGAAAAGGTGGTCCTCACTTAACTGTTCCAAAGAGCAGCTTCTCAGCTCTTCAGTGTTCATTGGTAATTTCTAACCATGTGTTTGTATCAGTTTATCATTGTTTCATACTCCATACACTACAGTTGCCATCACCGACCCCGTTTTGCTGGCTTTTTAGCTACTTGGTCAAAAATAGTGCTTCCTTAAAGCATAGAGCGCTGGTGAGCACCTCGAGCTTTTTCTTTTCCTTTTTAATGATGCCTGCACTATCAGAGCATCTAGTGTTCTCTGTTTGTTTGGATGTAATCATGCACAGCCTTTTTATTTCTTTCAGGTGGGAGTATATTTTTTTCCTCAATGCCATTCTATAAAGATCAAATTCTGAAGTGTGTTTGTGCATCTCAAAAATAAAGATATATTAGAGCCGGGCGTGGTGGCGCACACCTTTAATCCCAGCGCTTGGGAGGCAGAGGCAGGCGGATCTCTGAGAGTTCAAGGCCAGCCTGGTCTACATAGTGAGTTCCAGGACAGCTGGGGCTACAGGGAGACCCTGTTTCAAAAAGACCAAAAAAATTAAAATTAAAAATAAAGATATATTAAGGGAGGGAGAAACACTGGTCTAGGTGCAAGGCACACTTACAGCAACTTTTATGTTTGGTTGTATTTTCTTTGTATATTATAAACATTTATTTAACTTGTTGCAGTTTGAAGTAAATTTCTGAAATGTCTGCTCAACAATAATCATTAAAATGTTTGCAGCATCTAGAACTGTGTCGTGTCACTCTCACTGTCGTCGTCATACCTGAAAGCTTAACTAAACACTTCATTTTCAGTGATTCAGTAAAAGCACTTACTGAGACTTGAGAGCTATAGGAAATGTTTTCACATAGATGTGACCCACCTGGCATGTTTAGTCATAAAGGATTGTTCAGTATTGTTCAGATAGAAATAAAAATTCATTTTTTTTTTTTTTTTAAATGTTTTGAGCAGGGCTCATTCTATAGCCCAGGCTGGTTGAATGCTCACCGTATAGGCTGACCTCAAACTCTTAGTGATCCTCCTGCCTCTGCCTCCCAAGTGGTGGAATTACAGGCGTGAGCCACCATGCCCAACTTGTGTTAAGCTTTTACATAGCAGATCCACTATATTTAGCACTGTATCTTCAGGGACAAGATTTGAGATCAAGAATAACTTCTTATGTTGTGTTAGTATGAAAAGAAATCAGGATATTGTTTTCTGGGTTTAAAGAGGGAAGTATATTTCCATTTTCCAAAGTTGTTTTGTTACCACAACGACTTTTCAAAGATGGCTCAGCAGTTAAGAACACTGGTTGTTCTTGCAGAAGACCTGGGTTCAAATCCCAGCACCCACATGGCAGCTGACAACTGTCCGTAACTCCAGTCCCAGGGGATCCGACAGCCTCTTCTGACCTCCGCAGTCATTGCACGACATGGGTGCACTTTACCTACATGCAGGCAATACATGCATACACATGAAATAAAAATAATAAAAAAAATACCTTTATACCATAGAAGAGAAGGGTTCTGTTAGAGTCAATGCTTTGAGAGTCGCCATCTCTCTCTATCCTCAGAGGAGAGGTTGTAGGACATGTCCCCAGATACCAAAATCTGAGGCTTTTGATGATCTTTTATGTGAAATCTGAAGTGTTTGCTTTTACCCTCCATTTCCTCCTGGACACTTTAATTCATCTCCACATCACTAGCCCTAGTATGGAGTAAATGCTGAGAAAGAAGAAAAGTCTGTGTGTTCAGTAGACGCGGTTTTCTCTTCCTAATAGTGTTCATTCTGCTCTTGGATTCCTGGATATGCAACCTGCAATTAGGGAGGACCGACTCTATTACTTTTATTTACTGCATGAGAATGTTGTGAATGTGTACCCAGAGCCAGCCTTTAAATATTTCATCTCATCAGCCTCACAATACTGTGAGAACAAGTTAAAGCATAATAGCAACATTTCAGTATATCACCTATGCTTGAATCCAGAAAGTACTGGTGGTATTTTATTTTCAGTAAAGCCATAGATACACGACTAAAACTCTATACTAGAATTAGAACTCAGCTTTTGTATACAGTATTGCCATTATTAAGAAAAAAACGCCTGTCAGTGGTCCACTTTTATGAAGGCTAGCTGGTCAGCTGCTGCCTCTTCCTATGTGGTCCATGAGGTAAGTGCGACATTAAAGTTTTTGTTTTGTTCTTTATTTGGGGGTGAGGGCAGGTATGCATGTGCCATGGTGCATGTGTGGAGGTTTGAAGACAACTTGTGAAGTCCACCGTGTGTGGAGGTTTAAAGACGACTTGTGAAGTCCACCGTGTGAGTCCTGGGGATCTTTATTTGATCCATCTCACTAGCTCCAAGTTTTTAAATGATTGAAGAAAATACAAGTTAATATAGGATTTTGTTGTTGTTTTGGGGGCAGTTCTCCCTTTAGCCCTAGCTGGCCTGGAACTCACTATACAGACCAGGCTAGACTTGATCTCACAGAGATCTACCTGCCTCTGCCTCCCATACCTGTCTAAAATTGTGCTTTTGATAATGGAAATTGTAATTAAATCACCTTTTTATTTTTTAATTTTGGCAATATCTCTAGCCTGTATTGGCCTTGAACTCTGTGAAGTCAAGGATAACACTGAATTTCTGATCCTCCTCCTGTCTACCCGGTGTTGGAAATGTAGATGTGCACTGCTCTACCTGATTTATATGGTGCTGGGTTCCCATGGCCTTATGCATGCTAGCCAAGCATTCTATCCACTGAGCTACATCCCTAGCCCTAAAATTTAAGCTTTTAAGTCCATAGGTTTTGGGGGTGTTTGATTTTTGTTTTTTTCTTTTTGGTCATTTTGAGGCAGGGTCTCTCTGTAGCCCCAGATGGCTTGGAACTCACTATGTAGACCAGGCTGGCCTTGAACTCAGATCCTCCTGCCTCTGCACCTTGAGTGCTGGGACTAAAAGTGTGAGTCACCGAGCCGGACTAGTTTTATTAAGATGTATTCCTGTTCATTTGTGGACCATATATGGTTGCTTTTGCACTACAGTGGCTAACTGGAGTAGACAGCAGGAAATATGTGGTTCACAAAATCTAAACTATCCTCTGGCCCGTTATAGAACAGGTTTGCTGACCCCTAGCCTAGAAAGTTGCTGTAGCAGGTAAACTCATGAGTCCCTTAAGATCAGTCCTGTTTTTCGAGTGTTTTATGAGTGAAAAAAATCACTGTAGGTATCTTACTGAAGGGAGATGATTCACAGCCTGTAAGTACAGTCACATCAATTGAGTGTTACATGTCTTCTAGGGTCTCCAGATACACTGAGCTCCAGAGTATATTTTCCTATGATATCTAATATTTTTAAAACTCTTGCTATTCTCTGAAGGTACTAAAATCTGTGCCAGGATATAATTCATCTGCTATTTTAGTGTGACCCCAAAGTTAATTTTGGTCACTCCCTAGCTACTTCTGGTGTGCCAGTTTCTACAGTTACCTGAATATGTTCCTGATTACGTGCCTACCAACTAGGACAGTGTTTCCCAGCTGCTGGGTCTCAGCAAGACACCTGAAGGTCTTTGATCTAGATAGGGCTTTCCCAGCCCTTGACTAGTTAATGCTCAGGTCAGATGGAAGAACCTTTCAGTACTATGGAGAACGGCACATCGTCTGCAGAGGACGGAGTCTGCTTCCTCCATTGAGCTTCACCTCCCACTCCAACGTGACATCCATATGCTCTCCACAAAGACAGCCCTGTACAGTCTGCTGCCTGAGTGGCAGAAGCATATAGTTTTGTGGAGTTCAAGGCATTTGTTTTGTACTGAGTTTGCACTAAGACATTGTAGGAGTTAAAGAAATGAACTGTGCTTGCTTCGGCACATACACTAAAATTAGAACCATACAGAGACGATTAACATGGCCCTATGCAAGAATGACACCCACATTCGTGAGACAGTCCGTATTTTTATCTAATGCTCTGTATGAAGGGGGAAGGAAAGGTTTTTGTTCATGCCAACTGATGAGATTCTCTTTCATTTTATTTTTCAACTTGGAGCTAAAGTCAATTTTACTAGTGTTTCTCAGGAAATCAAACCCATGAAAGTATCCCATAGCAAATGTGGATAACCTGTAATCCCACTCTCAGGAGGCAGAGGCAGGAGAATCAGGAATTCAGGGTCATCCTCGGCTACACAGCAAGTTCAGGACCAGCCTTGACTACATTGAGAGCCTGTCTAAACAAAAATAAGTGGAATGGAGGAATCTTTTAATGTTTAATCATTATTTGATTATAGTAACATAAGCTAATTACATGATGGCATTGTAATTGCTAAGTAGCCTTAAAATGGCTATCAAAGACTTCTAGAAACTGGCAAATAAAATTCAGTTCTGTCATCTTTAGGAACATGTTGGAATGAACTTTTGATTTTTTTTTTTTTGTTATTTTGGGGGGGTAATTATTTTTTAAAAGTTTGTGTATGAGCGCTGTGCCTTATGTAAATGCACCTGTGTTGTGGGGTGTCTGAGGAGGCCAGCCAAGGTGGTCAAATCCCCTGGAACTGGAGTTATAGACAGTTGTTAGTTGCTAGGTGGGTGCTAAGAACCGAACCCAGGTCCTCTGCAAGAGCAATCAGTGCTCTTAACCACTGAGCCATCTCTCCAACCCCAAATTTACAATCCTTTTGCCCCTGTCTCCTGAGTCTAGGGATTACAGGTATGTACCACCAAGCCCAGCTTGTAATAAAGTTTTTAAAAAGTTTCAGTTTGGACCTGGTGGTACAAGGGCTGTAATCCTAGCTACTTGAGACTGGTGTCATAGGGAGGATCCAAAAGTTGCCTGGGCAACTTAGTGAGACCTTGTTTCAAAATCTTTATAAAGGAGGTGAAGGGGGAGAACTGAGATGCACAAGGCTCTGGATTTGATCCCCAGGACTGTATAAGCCAGGTGTGCTGGTGGATACCTATAATCCCAACACTAGGGAGACATAGGAAGATCAGAAGTTCAGGGTCATCCTTGGCTACATGCCAAATCGGAGACCATATATGAAATCTTGTATTAATAAGGTATTAGGGGTGCTGGGCATGGCAGAGCACTGGACTGCAAGTAGGTACTTATACACTGCTAAGGGTTCCTCAGCAAGATAGAGTTTAGGAGCAGGGGCCAGGTTTGGTGCACACCTTTAATCCCTGCACTTGGGAGGCAGAGGCAGGTGTCTCTAAAATTGAGGCCAGTCTGGTCTACATAGCAAGTTGCAGACCAGCTAGGGCTACAGAGAGATCCTCTCTCAAGAAAAGAGAAATGGAGAAACAAGGAAGACAGCAGTGTTGGCCTCTGGCCTCTGCAGAAACCAGTACACACACCCAAAAATTTTTGAAGGAAACCTATAGAGGGGAGGGGCCCAGGGCTACAGCTCAGTGGGAGACATGCTTGCTTGCACGGCACATGTGAAACCCTAGATTCAATACCCAGTAGTAACACAGTTTTATTGCTAAGACTGTAAGGAGACGGCAAGCACAAGACAGTTTACACAAAGTGCCATGCGTGTTCAAGTCAACTTGAAGGAAACTTCACTGGCTGATGGCCGGCCGGCTACCACACATTTTCCTCCGCTCTCTTCTCCCTGTCCTGGGGAGGTGTTGACAGAAAAATGGAATCCTGAGTTTCAGTTAGAGAAAAGTTTTCTGTATGTATTTTAAAATAGCCTTTGTTTTCTGTTTGGGAATATGGAAAGTATCTAGTGATACTGTTGGAAGGATGTTCTGTCTTGTCACCCTTTGGGTCGTAGATGTTGACATAGATGTATTCCATGGTATTCATGCTTCTTACAGAGGGTGTTGTCCCGCAGAGCTTCCATTCAGCTTTCTGACATCTTATCAAGAATCAGCAGAGGGGCAAGAATTCTGGCCCTGTTAGTCTCTACAATGCAGCCATTTAACACCATCTCATCCAAGATGATGTGGACTTTATCCAAATTAAACATTATCTAGGGTCATATTAAGGAAATTAGTTTGAGAATAACAAGTATTAATAGTATCATGGCCTAGCCTGGTATTTTCCTGATGCAAATAAACCTAAACATGTATTCCTATTAGAGATGTACATATACACACCTAGTTTCATTTTGGCTAAGCAAGTGGGGTAAGCAGGCATTGAAACAGTTATTTCAATTTTATTTGTGTATGTATGTATGTGTGTTCAGAAGATGGAACCCAGGGCCTCGCACATGCTAGGCAAGCACTGTACAACTGAGCTACATCCCAGTCTCCAACAGCTACATTTTGTTAGCCAAAGTGAGATTGACTCTACTAAGAGCTAGGAAACAAAGTGACATTGGCAGAAAAAAATGATTCAACCTCAGGAGATGTTACTTTAGAACAATAGCAATCAAATACTGTGTTCCAGGCATTATGTTGAGTGTGTGAATATTTTAGTCTAATATATTACTTCAGTGTGTGTGTGAAGTATTCAGGAACAGCTCAAAGTCTTTGGCTAAGGTCATAGAACTGATAGAAGCCAGAACTGGGCTTGATGGACTGCTCTGCTCTCGGAGTCTCATGACTTCTGCTCATACTGAGGAGCTTGAGGCGTCACACCCTGTGCCCCCAAGCCTCTGCCCAGAACAAAAGCTGTATTTCCAGCTGTCTTCTCTGCCAGGCTGAAGTAAAAATAGTTCTGAAGAGAAAGGGGTAAAGAAGGGGAGACGTGCCAACTGCATTTCCAAAAAGATGAAGATTCGGAGCCTCTCTCACATGGAGTTCTAAAATCTTTTTCAAATTAGGAGGCCCCTTTAGCTTGGCGGTGTTCTTCCTGGGTAGCTGGTCTAGTGCTTAGGGAAGAGGGAAGAAGCAGGCAATGATGAAAGAGCCAGACCCCTGGAGAGGCTCAGGCTGACTGGAAGGGAAGGGGAACTGGAGGCAGTGGCTGAGTGTTCCTGAATCTTACATCTTGAAACCTGGACTTTCCATCTCTAAAGAGCTCCTTGAAGAAAAAAGAACCTATCAAATAGACACACTTCATTCAAAATAAGTGATTCAATGCACTTGGGAGTTCATAATTAGTGAATCTCTGTAAAACAAATCATTACCTGGATTTTGTTCAACAATTCCTGATGTTCAAAGTCTCCTCTGTATTTGCTCAGTGGACAACCTGTGAATGACTTTAAGTTTCCATTAGACTCTGATCACATCTCATTAAGCTCTGTGCAGACAGCCGTCCAGCAGAATAAACTGTTTTTTCAGGAGCCTATGGGAACTGTCCTTAAGTGACCCAGAAAAAAAAAAAAAAAAGCTTTGTGCTGATAGACCTATTAATAATGTCTTCCAATTATATAGATGATTGCTTTGTCCCAGGCCAAACTGGGGCTCGAATGCATGTTTGGCTCAAACCTGTCCACCAGAACCAAAAGCCAGAACTTACAAGCTGAGACAAAGTGAGAATGGCAGCCAGACAGGAAGAGCTGATGTGCTGGGGATGACCAAGCATGAAGCCCTGGGTTGGATCCCCACACCCCATAAGCCAGGTATGGTGGGGCACACCTGTAATTCCTGCACTTGGCAGATAAGAGCAGGAGGCTCAGAAGCTCAGGGTCATCTTCAGCCACATAACAAGTTAGAACCCTGTCTCAAAAGTGAGCATTGAGCAGCACTGGTAGCTGAATGAAAAGGGCCTGCAAAGCCTCCCACGCCGTCGTCACTAAGGGCCGTGAGAGCCCTACTCTCTGCCATGGTCTTTGAAACCGGAGGAAATCTAATTTTTGTCTGTCGGAATGGGATCATGGATCAAACCGCTCTACAGACTGCTCCATCTCTGGCAAACAAATGATTACTGTTCAGATGTCCCCTTGAGCAACTGCCCAACTGTTTTGAAATTCAGATCAGAATATACTGCTGAATCCTACCAATCACTGACATTCCCACAATGCAAAGGCAAGGTCCTTCTGGAAGCCTGAATTTCCCAACCTCCTGGAAACATGAGTTAGTCAGTGAGGTCATTCTGTACTGTGGGCATGTGACTGCCTGACTGTGTATCTGGCTCAGACCCTAATGATCACGTAGTTCTGGCACTACATGAGCAAACCACAGACCAAATCCAATGTAAGGCAAGAACTGAGAGCTGATGTCTCCCTGGAATCACATGGCCCCTTTAAAATAAGAATCCAGCTGTTCTTCATGTCTAGATTCAGCTTATGAGCAACTTGTACACATGGGTGGAGCCAAGATTAGTGGCATTTGGGCAATATGCCAGGTGAGTGGGGACAGGAAAACAGTACCCAACATGCCAAACCCCAAGGCAGTGTCACAAGCAAACACTTCAACTCTGGCATTTGGAGTAGGAGGAAGCAGGAAGGAACTGGACCGTGCGATCAGGCCTTGTGCGACCTTCAAACTGGGTTGCACATGGCTGACTCCAGTCTAATGGCAGCGTGTTTCATTCATGGGCCTCATGAACCCCCACAAACTAGAAAGAACTTTCCAAGGAGCACGCTTACTAAATCCCCACCATCTCTCAACCTTGAAACCTGAGAACCCTTCCAGATTTCTATGTAAGGCAGATCTGAACTGAACATGAAATGGGTCCTACACAGGAGTTCTGATCTCTGCCTCATGAAACGTGTTTCCCATATTGTGTTTTATTTTTCCTGAGACAGAATCTTAGGTGGTCCAAGCTGGCCTTAAACTCCCAACCCATTGTCTCCACTGGATTACAGGTGTGAGCCCAACACAGTCTTTTAATACCAATGTGGTCAGTCAATTGTCCTTTAAAACGTGAGAAGACTGAGTAACAGAGTCAAATGGAGCTTTAGAACCATCCTAGGGCAGAGCCCAGGCACTGAAATGGCCAGCTCAAGACTTTGCCTCATGCTCCTTGGCTTCTCGTTTTAAAGATTCTAGCTGTGCTGTTATTATAGTAACAGGTATGTGGAAAACTCTTGTCTCTCATTTAATCCAGTTTTTCATTAAAGCAGTTAAGCTGCCAAAGGCCACTGTGCTCACACTCCTTAAACAAAAAATGAACATTTCCGCATGGAAGACTCCATGACTGTCCTGCGCAGACGGACAGAGTCCGTGCCTTCTGCTCATATTTAGGTTTGTATCCTCCCTTCTGAGGCCGCTGAAAGGAACTAGAGTTTTTGTTTCTTTTTTGAGACAGGGTCTTATTGAGACAGGGTCCCAAACTCTGCATGTACCTGAGATCGACCCTGAACTCCTGATCTTCCCGTCTGTACCTCCCAAAATGCTGGGATTACAGGTGTGTGTATCGCCAAACTCACCTGGTTTTGTTTGTTTTGGAGACAAAGTCACACTGTGTCCCAGGCTAACCTCTAGTTCATGATCCTGCTGCCTTGTTCTAGTGCTGGGATTACAGCATTTGCCATTATACCCAGCTTATCTTTACAAATAGGTTTTCCTAAAGACCATTCATCTGAGAACGATGGGTGTAACTTCACTGGGCCCTATACCAGGTCAAATGAGCCTAACTCCTGTTGCTTCTCATAACTTGCTGTCACTATTCTTGACTAAAACAGAACTCAGATATATGGGATGAGAAGGGTAGAGTATAGAAGGACTTGGAAGACATGGCAGCAGATGATGTGGTACTGTGCTGGACACCTTTGTGTCAACCTGACACACCTGGGTTGAGGGAGCCTCAATTGGGGAATTGCTTCTATTGGACTGGCCTGTGGCCATGTCTGAGGGGCATCTTCTTGATGAGTGATGTGGGAGGACCCAGCCCACTGTGGGTGGTGCCACCCCTGGGCAGGTGGGCCTGTGTTGCATAAGAAAGCAGGCTGAGCAGGGGCCAGGGGAGATAGCCAGTAAGCAGTGTTCCTCCATGGCCTATGCTCCAGCTCCTGCCTCCAGGTCCCTGCCCTGAGTTTCTACCTTGGGCTCCCAGATGAACTGTGACCCGGGATATGTAAGCTAAATAAACCCTTTCCTCCCCAAGTTGGTAGTGGTCAGAGTGTTTTGTCACAGCAATGAAGAAACACACTAAGACAGGTACCCAGAAGCTTCAGAGAGCACATTTAAAGGAAATGGCTGGGCCTGATGGCTCACATCTATAATCCAGATTTTTGGAGTCTAAGGACTGCTAGAAGTTTGAGGCCAGTCTGGGCTACACAGTGAGTTCTAGGCCCCCCCAAGCTACAGACTCTAACATGAAAATAAAGGAAATAGGGAGGTAGGGAAGGCTGTGAAATCAGAAAAGCCTGGAAGCAGATGGTTGGATCCGCATTCACATCCCTTTCCCTGGAGAAGGACAGATTCCTTGGGAATGGTTCATGGCTGAGAATCTCAGTATTCACTGGAGATGCTTCTGAGAGAACAGTTCCCCGAGAAGCTGACTTCAGGAGGATGGCTTCTCTCAACAACAGGCTCCTGGCCACTATCCCTGTGGCCCCTTATTTTGAAGGACTTTTGCAACTTTTCATTAAATTAGGCTGAGATCACCAATGGACAGGAGTGCATTCTGGGTTCTGAACCTGGAAATGTATGTGGAGTCTGAGGAAGTTAATGAAGAATCAAGAGCTGGGTCCTGGGTCCTAAACACAACATATCCGTGAATCCCAGTTGTGCCAGTTACCCACCTCTGTGGCCTGTAAGCTGTCATCTAGAGAACACCATGCTAGACGGTGACAGAGTCACCTCACACAGCATGAAACAGAAGCCTTTAAAAACCACAGCAGTTTTGGAGTGCTAGAATCAGTTGCTATTTCTTTCTCTCTCTCTCTCTCTCTCTCTCTCTCTCTCTCTATCTATCTATCTACCTACCTACCTATCTAATCATCTATCATCTACTTACTTATCTGTCTATCCCTATGTAGCCCAAGGCTGGCCTTGGACCTCATCCCTTTAAGAGCCAGGATTATAGGAGTATGTCCTCAAAAGAAGATTTTGAATCAAGAAAAAATTCTGAGTTCTGGTGTGGCCACAGCAGTTAAAGCTACCACTAGCCCTCCACAGCTCCTGCCACTACAGCTTGTGGACAAGTGTATAGGATCAAGAATTCACATTGTGCCAGGTGTGGTGGTGCACACCTTTAATCCCAGCACTCAGGAGACAGAAGCAGTGAATCTCTGTAAGTTCAAGGCCAGCCTGTTCTACATAGTGAGGTCCAGGCCAGTGAGACTCTCAAGGAAAAAAAAAAGAATTGATTTATTTATTATTTTATATGTATGTGTGTGTACCTGTGTAAGTTTATGTGCACTACATGCATTCTGGTACCTACAGAGGCCAAAGGAGGGCATCAATCCCCTGGAACTCACTTGGTAAAATGTGTACACTAGTGCAAGAGTAGCACGGATATTATGTGAGCAATCAACAATGTTCTAATTGGATTTAAGGCCCTCTTCACAAGATCGAGTCCATACCTGATACTGTTGTCAGGGACAACAACCTGGGGTTAGTCAGGTCACAGGACTGGGGAGAACCTGCTACTGTCACTCTGCTCAGTATGCACAGTACTAAACTGACTCGCGATGACTTTTTACTCCCATAGATTAGTGCATCTTTCAACTTCCACTATAGAAGTTTCTTCTTGCAGCAGATGATGAACAGAGACCCGCAATTGGTGAGTAAGAGGCTGGGGAGTGCTTGGCTCTAAATGAGATGCCTGAATCATACCCTCTCCTTCTAAAACGGGGATCATTGTGGAAGAGCAGGTAGAGGGGCTGGAAAGGTTTTAAGAGCCAGAGGCAGTAGACGAATACAAGGAAACTACTTTCTGGACACCAGAAACCAGGGTAGTCAGGGTAGTTGCATATATGAACCCAGAATGATATGCACAAGACATGTACAGACCCAAGTCAGATGGGCCCAGTGTGGATGGGGAGGTGGGCAGGAAGACGGGCCCAGCCGGCAGGAAGCACCAGCTCTAGCTGAGGATCTGTTGCCAATTGACAGATGCTGGGAGAGGAAGAGTCAGTGTTTCTTACTGGCGTGATGCCTGGTAGGTTGACCAGATTCTAAGGGATAGTCCCACACCCAAGAACATTTAGGAAACACAGATTAGACTCCATAGGTCTTTAAAAAAGATAAATAGCCAGGCGTGGTGGTGCACACCTTTAATCCCAGCACTCGGGAGGAAGAGGCAGGCGGATCTCTGTGAGTTCAAGGCCAGCCTGGTCTACATAGTGAGTTCCAGGACAGCTGGGGCTACAGAGAGACCCTGTCTCAAAAAGACCAAAAGAAAAAAAAAAGATAAATAATAATAGAGGTCATGAAGTGGGGGTGGTAAAGGTGGAAGTGGAGGGGGGAGGGGACTGGAACATGATCAAAATACACTGCATGAAATTCTCAAATCAAAAATATTTTATAAAGCTGGGCATGATGGCACACGCCTTTAATACCCAGCACTCGGGAGGCAGAGGCACGTGGAACTACATAGTGAGTTCCAGGCTAGCTGGGGCTACAGGAAGACCCTGTCTCAAAAAGACCAAATTCTTTTTTATAAATAAAAAGATATACTAATTTATTTGTTATTTTTTGTGTATGTGTGTATGTGCCTGAGTATGTTTATGTGCACCACATGCATGCATGTTCCTGCAGAGGCCAAAAGAGGGCATCAAATCCCCTGGAACAGGAGTTACAGGAGTTCAAGTGGTTCTGAGGTCCTTTGCAAGAGTGGTAGGCTTTCCTAACTGCTGAGCCATCTCTCCAGCCCCAAACCAGGCAGATTTTTGAAGGAAGTAAGTTATCTTTTTTTTTTTGTCTTTTTGAGACAGGGTCTCCCTGTAGCCCCAGCTGTCCTGGAACTCATTATGTAGACCAGGCTGGCCTCGAACTCACAAAGATCCACCTGCCTCTGCCTCCCAAGTGCTGGGATTAAAGGCGAGCGCCACCATGCCTGGCCAGAAATAAATTACCTTTAAAATTTAACATACAAGGCCAGGTGTGTTCTCAAAAAGACAAAAAACCAAAAAACAAAAACTTAACAAACAACTAACTATCCCTCCAGAGACTTACAAAAAGCATAGTGAGTGCCTGCTGATAGCTGGGGTCCCAGGCATGTTTGTTTTGTTTTGTGGCGCTGAGATTAAACCCAGGACAGGCACTGTACCACTAAGCTGTATCCCGTCTCCTTAGACAGTTTTGATTTAAAGGAGAGAAAAAAAAAAAACTTTTTCTGCTCTAAAAGGAAATGAGTATAAGCCAGGTGACTGTTTAACTCTCCAGTTTATCTCCCTGAGTGCCACCTTCTGCTCACGAGGGAGACTTCTGGAGATTTCTACCTGCAGCCCTGAAAGTCCAGTCCCTCTGAGAATACCCAACACTTTGTTTATATGGGTATTTTGAACAAGCCTGTTGGATATGGTTACCTTACAACAAGGAACACTAGTTATTATCAACTACTACCATGTCATTACTTTGTCTGGAAACAAAACAACAGCATCAACAACAAACCCCCCAAAGAAAAACAACCCGAGAAGAGCTGTCTTTGTACAGCGGGGGGTCGGGAGGTTCTGTGAACCGCCTGCAGATGAGCTGCCTTGTTAGTTGGAGATGATCACCTTCTCGATTCTGCCAAATCCTCTTCCTGCCTGGTGGCACTCACCTGATTAGATCTAGAATGTACTTTGCCACATACATGCAATGGTTTCCAGACTGAAAAAGGATACATCCAGTTCGCTCTGAAAAAGAGAAAAGGGACGCACAGTGAGAAGGCACCCCTCAGACCCCACTGAGCAGACAGCGGCCGCTCTGACTGCCCGGAAGCAGCAAACGAGGCCACTCAGGATCATGCAGAAGCCCTGGAATGGAAGCCCTGAGCCGCGACTGTGATTAAGAGAAAAATAAAGCGTTGGAGGTCAGAGGAACTTTAGAGGTCAGAGAGTGGAGGGGAGGCTGAGGTCGGTGGCGGCTTGCCCATAACTCCAGCACTTGGGAGGGCTGCTCAAGTTCAGGCCTGCCTGGCCTGTAGAGTGGGAGACCCTCTCTCAAAAAACAAACCAAGGGCTGGAGAGATGGCTCAGTGGTTGAGAGCACTGTCCTGTTGCAGAGGTTCCCGGCACCCACATGTTGGCTCACAGACATCTGTAACTCCACATTCAGGGGACTGGACTTGCTTTCTAGCCTCTGCAGGCACCAGGTACACACATGGTGTACATACATACATGTAGACAAAACACTCAAACATATTTAAAAAAGAAAGAACAATGAATCATAGCAGGACCCCACCATGAAGCACTTGTGCACCTGGCCACTATGAAGCTCCATGTGAGAGTCAGGACTTGGGTGGAGGAGAGCTGGGCCTCTTCCCAGCCTCCAGTCTGCAACAAGCTTATATACCAGTAGCGGTTCAAAATCATGACTGTCAGAAGCCTCGATACCAGGAAGGACGATCACCTGGAAGAGGGTGAGGTGTTTTACCAGCTGGAGGATGCATGGTTTTCCGAGTCTTGGAACAAGGGAAACACTAGGAAGGGGTCACAGGGCAGGGAGAGGTAGCCCTCCCACCTGCCGGGGTGCCCACTCCCCACAGAGGTCTGCTAACACCGCAAGGCTGGTGATTGAGCGGAAACGGCTGGTAACCAAGCTAGATGGGCTTCAGCACTATATGGGGGTCACTGTGGCCATCCTGTTTGAGAATCAGTTGAACTACAAGGACCATGGCACGCAGTTGGCCCCATCATCTTTTGGTATGAGCAGTACCAGTACCCAACAGGAAAGCCCACCCGATCAGCTGCTCAAAAGCCATTGTTCCCTCTGAGCATACAGTCTGTCATGGAGCCCATGTCCCTGAAGGCCTCACTAGAGGGCCACGAGAAGCTTCAGGCAGGCCTATCCCTCAGCCTGTTTGACACCTTTGAGACTGGGGAGGGCTCTTCTGTGGTGGCAATGGGGGACAGCATGTGGGCCCAACTCTAGGTGCCAGCCAGGGCCTTCTACGTGTGGGAACCAGCATAGGGCTCTGAGGATGTCTGTGATCCAGACCCGTCTGTAAAAAGGCACTGGAATGACCCTTTTCTGTGGGCCCCAGGTACCCATGGGGTACCCGAGTGTCATCCTGTATACTTTGGTAACCTAAGTCCCTGTTACCACATTCAAAAAATCTACAGACAGTCAATGTAGATGAGAACTAACTGTTGAGACTCAAAATTATAAAACTGCCAATAAATAAATAAATAAATAAATAAATAAATAAATAAATACCAACTAAGTCTTACCGACTTAATTTGATCTATGGATTAGTGGGCCATTCCCTGTGAATCCATTGATTTACTTCTATAAGTTTATCTTTTTTAAAAAATATAGTTTAGGGGCTAGAGAGATGGCTCAGTGGTTAAGAACACTGACTGTTCTTGCAGAAGACCCGGGTTCAAATCCTAGCACCCACATGGCAGCTAACAACTGTCTGTAACTCCAGTTCCAAGGGATTTGAATTTGACAGCCTCTTCTGTTCTCCACGCGCATTGCAAGACACGGGCGCACTTACTTGCATGCAGGCATAACACTCATACACATAAAATAAAAATAATAAAATATTGTATTTATTTTTATGAGTATATTGCCTGCATGTATGTGAGTGCACCCGTGTCATGCAATGCCTGCGGAGGTCAGAGAAGGCATTGGATTCCCCTGGAACTGGAGTTAAAGATGATTTGTAGCCACCATGTGGGTGCTGGGAATTGAACCTAGGTTCTCTGCAAGAGCAGTCAGTGTTCTTAACCACTAAGCCATCTCTCCAGCCCCCTACAAGTTTATCCTAAGGAATAGGAAAATGACACGTGATTAGAATATTCAGGCTATCACAGGAACTTATTGACAACAATCTAAGCATCTATTAAAGGGGGATTAGTTAAGTAAATTATAGCCCTCAGCAAAACATGATGCAGTCAGGCGTGATGGGACAGGCCTTTAATCCCTAAGCACTCACAAAGCAGAGGCAGGTGGATCTCTGTGAAGTCAGCATGGTACAAAGTGAGTTCCAGACCAGTCACAGCTGAGATCTTGACAGTGGGGAGAGGAAGTGGTGCATGCCTTTAGTCCCAGCACTTGGGAGGCAGAGGCAGGTGGATCTCTACAAGTTCCAGGCCAGCCTGGTCTACCTAGGGAGTTCCAGGTCAGCTGGGGCCACAGGGAGACCCTGTCTCAAAAAAACAAACAAGTACAAATTTTAAAATGGCATGCAGACCTGGGGATGTAGCTCAATGGCACAGCACTTACTTAGCATTTTAAAGGCGCCAGGGTTGATCTCCAGCACCACAAAAATAATAAATAAATAAATAAATAAATATGATATGATATGTAGGGAGCTTTTGAATGTTAACCTGAAAATACGGAAATCTACCTTCTTGTTTCATTTGTTTCACTTGTAAGAATGTGATTAAGAGTGCTGGCCTTTAATCGCAGCATTCAGAAGGCAGAGGCAGGTATATCTGTGAGTTTGAGGTCAGCCTGGTTTACATAGCAAGTTCCATACTAGCCAGGGCTACAGAGTGAGGCCCTAATTAAAAAAATAAATTAAATTAAATTAAAAAATAAATAAGAAGAGCGCACTGACTGCTCTTGGCTAACAACTCTCTGTAACTCCAGTTCCAGGGGATCCAATAACCTCTTCTGACCTCCATGGGCATTGCATACTTACGTATTTGCAGGCAACACACTCACACACATAAAATAAAGAAAAGAAGACTCCCGCATGCATGGCCTCCCCATACTTTATATCCTGTTCCAGAAGACAGTACACCTGTTACGAGCAATGAGCCTATTTCAACATATCCCCGCCACAGAGGCCACGGTTCATGGTGGGGTTCTCCACTGCGTTAGTTATACAACTTGAGTTTGAACGGATGGTCAATTGCCACACATCCATCTCTTTTCTGCTTATTGTATTTCATTTTTATGCAGAAAAAATGGTTAGCAGAAATGACTTCGTATGTGAAAGGCCTTCAGGTCTGTCAAAGGCAGGGCAGGAAACCGCGCTGTGTTGTTCCTCACAGCGACAGCACACACCACTACAGAACTCCTCCAGAAATCAACTGGTTTGACGTTTGGCTGTGAGCATATGATAGCAGATTCTTTTCTTGGGGTAGACAGCATGAGATTCATCTCCAAATTTAAGATTTGAAAACTCTCTAAGATAAAAAATAGCCCAGAAAGGATGCTTAAAACTCACAAAGCCAAAAATAAATCTTAGATGACAGGTGCTCTGGGTGAGAGATGGAGCCTTCCTTCTCCCTGAGCTTTCAGCTGTGGGCCTGAGCCGGGGTCATCCCCAGTGCAGCCCAAGCCCTGCACGGTTACCTGGCTTTACTTAACTTTGAATCTTGACTACTGTGGTTTACGCGGTCATTGACTTTCCCAAAATGACAGCTATAATTCAACATGTTCAGTTACTGAATGCTATAATTCAAAAACCTTAGCAGTGATAGGGTTATACCTACATTTATTCTCCTTGGTTTTAGACATTTGTATTTTTGGAAATTACATTCTTCCTGTGTGTCACCTGAAAGTGGCCTCCTGGGAGACAGACCATGACTTGCAACCAGTCTGCTGACAGGAAAGTGGTCTCCTCAGGGCTGTGTCATCAGTTTGGTCACCTCCAGCCCAATGTGGAGATTCACATCGACACTCACTCCAGTTCAGTAACATTTTGATCTCTTAGTCACACTAACTGCATCCCAAGTGTTCAAAGTCAGGCATGGCTAGCACCTGCAGTGCTATGTGGCCTGGGCAGGCAGCATTTCCAGCCCTGTGAAGGTTTTATGGATAGTATTTGTTTGTGGGACCCTCTTCAAGCAACCAACAAACACAGAGACATAGTGTCGGGCGAGCCTCCTGTGAGATATCCCCACATAGCCAGCCTCTGGAATGGTCTAGAATATCTTGTCCTATTCAGCTTTGGAATATATCAGTCCTTCTGGGACAGATGACTTGTCACGTCACAGGCCAAATCCACAGCCGTCTTCCCAGTTCTGTCCCTTGAATTAGGAAACTAGGGACAAGAAGCCTCGTGCATTAAGGTAATGATGTGTCAGAATCACCGGGAAGGCTTGTTAGAACATAGACTGAGGGGACCCAACCAGAGATTCTGATCTAGTACTGTGGAGTTTGGCCCAGAGTTTGTACTTCGAAGTTCCCAGTTTATGAAGAACCAGACTTTGGGAGCACTACACTATGCAATGAAGACAGGCTGGTTTCCCACAAAGAGATTCCAAATTCATTTCAGGCCATACAAGTAGGTCCAAATATATAAGTTCATTGTTGTTGCTGTTGAGAGAAGCAGCATGTGTTGGGAAAGCAGGTGTTCACCATCACACCCAGCAAAAGACGCCATTTCTGAACATGACTCGGAACCTGAGTTTTGCCTTTGGGCTTTAGTGTGCTTGATATTACAATCACAGAGCACTATCCTCGTATCGCCTCAGGAAAAGCAGCTTGGGAACAGTTCCTTCCAGGCCATTTTATATAAAGGCAAAATGACATGAAACAACTTTGAAAAATAATAAGCTCAAGTTGGGGATGGAGCTCAGCTGGTAGAGGGCTTGCTTAGCATGCACAAGCTTCTGGTTCAAACCTCAATACAGGATAAACCAGGTGTGGGGGCACACACCTGTAATCCCAGCACTAGTGGGGTAGAGGAGGAGGATCAGAAGTTCAAGGTCAGCCTGGTACTCAAGAGACAGAGTCTCAAAAAAAAAAAAAAGAGAAGATCCCGGCACTGGTGAGGCAGAGGCAGGCCGAGAGATCTCTGAGTTCAAGGTCAGCCTGGTCTAGATAGTGAGTTCCAGGCTAGCTGGGGCTACAGGGAAAAGAAAAGTAGCTCATGTTACCGCTACTTCTCAAGAATGTTTAACCAAGGCTGAGGCCTTTGGTAGTAATACAAACTGTCTTCATTGATTCTTTTTAAAAAGACTATTAGGTTTCCAACTTACTACAGTGCTACAATAATCAAGATAGTGTGGTATTAGCAAGAAGATCAGCACGTAGCTCAGTGGAACAGAAATGAGACTCTACAAAGAAACCTTTACTTTTTTTTTTTGTCTTTTTGAGACAGGGTCTCCCTGCAGCCCCAGCTGGCCTGGAACTCATTATGTAGAACAGGATGGGCTCGAACTCATAGAGATCTGCCTGCCTCTGCCTCCTGAGTGCTGGGATTAAAGGTGTCCCACCACACCCGGCCTACTTGCATCTTTTTAATTAAAAATTTTTTGTTTGTTCAGATAGTGTCCCACTTAACCCAAGCTTGAACTTGCTAAGTACCAGCTAGCCTTGAACTCCTGTTCCTCCCGCCTCCACCTCAAAAAAGCTGGATTACAGCATGTGCTATTATGCCTGGCTCACCCCTTACATTTATGATCAATTATTTCACAACAAGGGTACCAAAGTCATCCATTGGTGGGAAAGAGCAGTATGTTCGACAAATGCTGCTGGACAAATAGGTATCCACATGTAAAACAGAATGAAGGAGCCAGACATGGTGGTACATGCTTGTAATTCCAGGATTTGGGAGGTAGAGACAGGATACAAATTTATGGACAGTTTGGGGCTATGTCCCAAACAACAACAAAAACATCTGTTGAATGAAGTTCATTTGTAACTCACGACACATAAAAATTACTCAGAAACAGCAGGGTATAGTGGTGCATGCTTTCAATCCCAGGACTTGGATCTCTGGGAGCTCTAGGCCAGCCAGGGCTATATGGTGAGACTGTCTCAAACAAAAACAAAGAAAGAATACTCAAAATGAACCAGAGACTCAAATTTATGAACTAAAATGATAAAACTCTAAGATGGAAACTATAGAGTAAATTTAAAGCCTTTCTAAGCATGACACTAAAATAATAAACAATGGATTAGCCTGGCATGGTGGCACATGCCTTTGATCCCAGTGCTGGAGAGGCAGAGGCAGGTCGATTTCTGGCCAGCCAGGTCTACATATGAGTTCCAGGCCAGCTGGTGCTACAGGAAGACCCTGTCTCAAAAAGACCAAAAATAAAAGAAGTCTTTCAGGTCAACGATAAAAAGATAAAACAGTTAACAACTGAGCCAAGAAGCTGGTATGGTGGTACACAGCTCTAATCCCAGGACGCGGGAGGCAGAGGCAGGCAGCTCTCTGTGAGTTCAAGGCCAGCCTGGTCTACATAGCCCATTCCAGGTCAGCTGGGGCTACAGGGAGACCCTGTCTCAAAATAACCAACAACAACAACAACAAACAAAGAAACAAAAGAAGAAAACCCCATAATAGCCCAAAACTAAAATGGATAAAGACAACGTGGTATACCCATTCAACAGAATATTGGCAATGCTGGAACACTGATGAATCTTGAAAACATTATGCTAAATAAAAGATTCAAGCTGGGGCTGGAGCGATGATGGTTCAGTGGTTGAGAACGCTTAGTGCTCTTCCAGAGGACCTGGGTATGCAATGGCCACGGCGAGCAACAAGGGAGGAAGCTTACGATGAGTATCTGGCACCATTTATTTTAACCTTTACACGTTAAAGCTCCATATTACACGTGGTATTAATACACCCAAATGGCCAGGTGTGGTGGTGCACACGTCTCATCCAGGCACTGAGGAGGCAGAAGCAGGCAGATGTCGGAGATTGGGGCCCAGGGAGAGTTCCAGGCCAGCTGTGGCTACAGGGAGATCCTGTCTCAAAAACACAAAGAACCAAACAACAACAAAACAAATACCCAAATGACCCAATTTCTAGAAAACTGGGCTTACAAAATCATTTTTTAGCCATTAGACTTACCACTCGGCTGAAGTATTCATCTAAAACTTCTACAAAATTGTGGATGAATTCATAAATAGCCATTTCATTCTGAAATAAAAAGGAAAATGTAATTAATTTTAGAATGGCCTATGGGTAAAACGAAAGTGCCTAGTCAGCTCCAGAGGTTTTAAAGCACGTGTTTCAGTGATAGATACGTGAACTTCCCACTGACTGATATTCAAAAGCGTCTGTGACCAGCTTAGATAAGATGCTTTCTGGGGCTAAGGATGTAGGTCAGCTGGATAAGTTTGCCTAGTATGTGGCTTAGTATGCCTGGCTTTAGTCCCCAGCACACAAAAACAGTGTAGCAGTGCATGTCCATGACCTAGCCTGGGCTCATGAGCCACTAAAGACGTTTACCGATGAAGGAAACAGAGGAAACCTTAACCAGCAAGATTCGTTTTCTAGCCCAGGATGAGAATGGCCACGCCGAGCTTCGCTGAGCCTCACAGTGTAGGGTCCTTGAGCTATCTCTGACTTTATCAACTAACTGCCTTAGGCAACTTCTCAGGTTCTTCAAAGCTGTCCCTTTATATTTTTGAAGATGGAGACATCACCTCAAAGTGCTTTATGGTTTATGTCTGTGTGTGCGCATGCATGTTTATGTGCGTGCACATGTGTATGTGTGTGCATGTGGAGGCCTGAAGCTGACGTTGATGTCTTCCTCCATCCTCTCCACTCCATGGGCTGAGGCAGCTCAGTTTGGCCCAGGAGTGCCCTTTCTCTGTCTCCTGAGTGCTAAGGCTTTACGCGGCTCCATCACAGTCCGGCTTTTATATAAGTTCTGGGGATCGGAATCCTGGTTTTCACACATACGTGGCAAGCACTGTATTCACTCTGACCATCTCCTCAGCCCCAGTCTATGCTCCTCAGTCCCTGTCATGAGTGACAGGCCTCTATGCTTGTCTGAGCTGCCCAACTGTGTAAGAGGGTAAGAGCAGGGATGAAGAAGGAATTCTGGGGTGGAGACATGGCTTAGCAGTTAAGAGCAGTGGCTGCTCTCACAGAGGACCTAGGTTCAGTTCCCAGCATCACATGTCAGGTAACAACCATCCATAACTCTAGTTCCAGAGGATCTGACACCTGCTTCTGGCCTCTGTAGGTACTGAATAAACATGGTGCACTTACATGCAGGCAAAATACTCATTCACATAAAATAAAAAGAAATGAAATTTTTTTTGAAAATTTAGGAATTCTAGTTAGGAACATGGTGGTGCAGGTATAATCCCAGTAACTTTGGAAGCTGAGGTGGGAGGACTGCTTAGCCTATAGGAGTAAGACTGGCCTGGGTAGCATAAACAAGACCATCACCACCACACACACACACACACACACACACACACACACACACACACTCCCACACAAACACACAAACAAACAGACACACACACACACACTCCCACACAAACACACAAACAAACAGACACACACACACACACTCCCACACAAACACACAAACAAACAGACACACACACACACACTCCCACACAAACACACAAACAAACAGACACACACACACACACTCCCACACAAACACACAAACAAACAGACACACACACACACACTCCCACACAAACACACAAACAAACAGACACACACACACACACTCCCACACAAACACACAAACAAACAGACACACACACACACACTCCCACACAAACACACAAACAAACAGACACACACACACACACTCCCACACAAACACACAAACAAACAGACACACACACACACACTCCCACACAAACACACAAACAAACAGACACACACACACACACTCCCACACAAACACACAAACAAACAGACACACACACACACACACACACACACACACACACACACACATACCAAAACCACACCAAAAAGGGCCAGGAGATGGTTCAGAGGATAAAGGTGCTTGCTGCCAAGACTGATGACCTAAGTTTGATTCCCAGATCCCACTCAGTGGAAGCAGAGAACCAACTCCTACAAGTTACACTCTGACCTCCACATGCACGCTTTGGTACAGGTGTGTCCCTGCATCCAAATAAAGAAAGTTAAAGTGTAATAATATTAAAAAAACAAAATAAGAGCCGGGCATGGTGGCACATGCCTGTAGTCCCAGCACTCGGGATGCAGAGGCAGGCAGATCTCTGTGAGTTCGAGGCCAGCCTGGTCTACATAGTGAGTTCCAGGACAGCTGGGGCTACAGGGAGACCCTGTCTCAAAAAGACCAAAAAAAAAAAAGTGTAATAATATTAAAAAAACAAAATAAGAGCCGGGCGTGGTGGCACACGCCTTTAATCCCAGCCCTCGGGAGGCAGAGGCAGGTGGCTCTCTGTGAGTTTCAGGCCAGCCTGGTCTACATAGTGAGCTCCAGGACAGCTGGGGCTACAGGGAGACCGTGTCTCAGAAAGACCAAAAAACAAAACAAAACAACAACAAAAACCCAAACAAACAAAGTACCAACGATATACGAAAAGGAAAGCATTCCGCAGCTTTAGGCCTCTCTAGTTTATAAGCTGCTCATTTAACCCAGAGGCACCCTTGCAATTTCTCTTCCATGCAGCTCTCCAAGCCTTAATAAAGACCCAGACACTTTGAAAGAGGCTTACTAGTTCTTAAGGAGGCAAATTGGAAAAAATGTCAATTTATGGAGAACGAAAGTCTTGCATCTTGTATAGACTCCTCCAGCACCTTACCTCAGTGTCACTAATGCCAACCACGATGAAGAGAGCCGCATATTGCCGGTAGACCAGCTTAAAATCCTTGTATTCAATGAAAGAGCACTAGGCAAAACACACGTAGATATTAGCGTCCAGTTGACAGAGACTTCCTCAAAATAGCACACGTAATTTCTAGATTCTGGTTAGAGTAGCTGTTAACACACCTAGATTTAGAGCATTAAAATGTTACGCAGCTGCTGTCGGCCATCTGACAGCATTTCGTGGGCCACTGAGAAGCAGCTCTAGGAGAACCTGGAGACACAGTACTGAAAAAGTTCAAGTGATCACACGGCCCCCTTGTCCTTCTTTCACTCCTTTTCTTGGTTTAGTCTAAAGCCCAGCAGCAAAGCTAGTGTGAAAATACACAAACATAAAGATTTTCTTCTTTCCAACTTTCCATGAATTCTTGGAAGGAAATTAGATATGCTTAGCTTTGTATCATTTAATAGTCATCAAGGATCCAATACAAGTAACATTATCAGGCTGGGCGTGGTGGTGCCTTTAATCCCAGTACTCTGGAGGCAGAGGCAGGCAGGTCTCTGTGAGTTTGAGGCCAGCCTGGTCTACATAGTGAGTTCCAGGCCAGCTGGGGCTATAGGAAGACCCTGTCTCAAAAAAAAAAAAGACCAAAACAAAACCCCCAGATAATATTATCTACTCTCTCTCTCTCTCATCATTCACCCATCAAATAATTTCTTTTTTCTAGATGCACAAAAAAGAATCAGTGTAGATTACTTCACAAACTGGGTAGAGGGCCTTTGTGTGGCAGAGGCTAGATGGATTTTCCATTATAAATACTGCTGCTATGAATTAGTGACTAGTTTACTTCCACCAACTTGCGGCTAAAACAACTCCCATCTCGTTCATGTGCGTCCCCAAGCCTCTGCATGAAGGGATATGGGAGGACACTGGGTAGACAAGACTTAGAAGTTGAAGGCACAGTGCCTCTTCAGTGTCAGGCTGTGCTCGGCCAACTGACGGAGCAGTGAACATGTTGGCGTTTTGTTCTGGGATATATTACTCTTGGGCGTTCTCACATTCCTGGGAATGAAGCTGTAGAGTCTGAAGATGGACATCCCCATGCGGAGTCACAGGGCAGTCTATAAAACGCAGGAGACAAGACTTAGAAGTTGAAGGCACAGTGCCTCTTCAGTGTCAGGCTGTGCTCGGCCAACTGACGGAGCAGTGAACATGTTGGCGTTTTGTTCTGGGATATATTACTCTTGGGCGTTCTCACATTCCTGGGAATGAAGCTGTAGAGTCTGAAGATGGACATCCCCATGCGGAGTCACAGGGCAGTCTATAAAACGCAGGAATTTTTTTTTTTTTGTCTTTTTGAGACAGGGTCTCCTGTAGCCCCAGCTGGGCCTGGAATTCGCTATGTATTCCAGGCTGGCCTTAAACTCACAAAGATCTGCCTGCCTCTGCCTCCCAAGTGCTGGGACAAAAGGCATGTGCCACTGCCCCCAGTTCAGAATTTCAACTTTTGAGTGTTGGAAGTGTGCTACATTAATGGCAGGATTTTCGCTAGCAGCAGTAGAGTTTCCCTCTGACTGGTAGTTGGTAGTGGTCTCTGCCACACATACTTTAGTGTCCATTTGCACAGCTAGCTCATGTTCAGATCCATTTGAGGGACTGTGTATCTCAAGTGTTGGAATGTATTTAGCATGCACGGGGCCCTGGTTCAATCCCTAACTCCCACCAAAAAAAAAAAAGAATTTCAGGGCTGAGAGTATATATAGCTTAGTGGCAGTATATGTGCCTAGGATGGGGG